CGCGTAATTTGTAAATTAGCAAAAAAAAATATTAAAACCTGGATTTGAACCTCGCTTACAAACCTCAAAGGCAGCCACGCGACCCGCTACACCACGCGGGCCAGATGATGATTCCGATGCTTTGGTTATTAGATTATTGTCGTTTTTATTTTGTTGTATTAAAAAAAATCAATAAACCTAAATCCCACCCCCCCCGAGAGCTTGTGATATATGTGCATTTATTGAACTCTGGCTTAGAGCTGCCGCACGCTCCCCGCGTGGACACCCCGAACGGTTCCGCATACAACCAGTGCCGCTGTTGCATCGCCACACCGTCTACATGCAGGGGCGGGCAACGTGCGGCCCGCGGGCCGTATGAGGCCCGCGAAATAATTTGGGTCTCTGGCCCTGCCAAGGCAACCGCAGGCGGGACTCGAAATTAAATAAATCTTGGAGCAAACCTGGGGGTGGTGGTAGCAACATCGTCAATACCAGCTAACATCATCAATACCAGCTAACATCATCAATACCAGCTAACATCATCATCACACGCCTCGCCAAAGAGAAGCAGTTCCGGCCCATCACATTAGGGGTGAGTTAATTAAATGTTTGACACAAATATAACAGGCTAATTTTTAAGTTGATAATTTTGTATGGCCCGCGAATGATGTTATATAAATATCCCAAATGGCCCTTGGCAAAAAAAAGGTTTCCCACCCCTGGACTCTACAGACTCAGCGGTGACTGCCAGCGTCGTGAAGTTTTACTTCCGATTGTTGTATCTCGGCTCAAGCCACCTCGTCTCACGCATGATAGCTCCTCGAAGTTAGCGCGCATATCATACTTTGTAACAGCTCTACGATCTCAGCGCGTGCTTCTAAAATTAAAACATAAAAACCAGAGGGACCCGGAGGAAAAATCCACGCGACCACCGCGGGAAGAGAGAGAGAGATAGAACACACGGCCTCCAAATATACAACAGGCACAGTCAGGGTCTGGGATCGAACCGACGGCTCTCCTAGCGAAACAGGCGAGGGAGATGTCATATATCTGCACGCCACCCCTGCTCCCTATCATAATGAATTAATAATTTATAGGAGCCGGGTTCCGTCGTGCCAAAACATGGTGAGACCCCACTGAGCAGTGCCGGATTAAATTATCCTCGGAGCTACGTGTAGTAGTGGCCGCACGTGTAGTGGCGGTGGCCACACGTGTAGTAGCGGTAGCCACACGTGTAGTAGCGGTGGCCACACGTGTGGTAGCGGTAGCCACACGTGTAGTAGCGGTGGCCACACGTGTGGTAGCGGTGGCCACACGTGTGGTAGCGGTGGCCACACGTGTGGTATTGGTGGCCACACGTGTGATATTGGTGGCCACACGTGTAGTAGCGGCCACACGTGTGGTATTGGTGGCCACACGTGTAGTAGTGGTGACAACACGTGTAGTAGTGGTGGCCACACGTGTGGTAGTGGTGGCCACACGTGTAGTAGTGGTGGCCACACGTGTGGTAGCGGTCGCACGTGTAGTAGTGGCCGCACGTGTAGTGGCGGTGGCCACACGTGTAGTAGCGGTAGCCACACGTGTAGTAGCGGTGGCCACACGTGTAGTAGTGGCGGCCACACGTGTAGTAGTAGCTACGGGGCCCGCACTTTCAAGGGCCCCGCGCTAAATGCTTTCAAGCTATCAATTCCAGTTTAGTGATTCTGCACTTGCTCTATTACTATAGTACTATACTGCCTTCGACTTTTACGAACGACTGGGTGTTTAAGGTTAGCGATTTGTCGTATTATCTGGCTGTATAGCAAATGAAAAAATAAAATGACTTTACTATGCAAGCTAAAAATTTGCGTTTTAATATTTACATTTTCTTTTATTTAGGGCCCCTTCATAACATGTGCGGCAGGCCTCACACTCGCTTCATCCGGCACGGCCACTGAGTTACGAGTGATGATGTCCGCACCGGCGTTGTGAGTCTGTGTCGCGAGTCTCTCCGCGTGCTGCTCGTGTGGGGGTGGTGGTGGTGGTGAGGTAGTGGGTGGAGTGGTGAGCGCAGTGCCAGGGCCGGGCCACGCGGCGTGCCGCCACGGGTTGCCTCAACGCCGCCACGCGGGTCGGGGCGTGGGGGGGGTCCAGGACGGGCTTCATGGGCGGAGTTGCGGGGGGGGGGGGCATTGCCCCACCTTTAGTAATTTATTTCCAGGAGTTTACGATTAAACACATTCCTGCGGAGGGAGCTGGTAGGAACGTTGGGTTGCTCGGTCAATGGCCAGGGTCAACGGCGGCGTGTTGTATTCCGCAAATATGCCTGACTGTGAGGGCGGGCACAAGCCGGCGTGAGTAGGTTAAACGTTGAGTTTTATAAGGGCACCACGGGGTGACCAGCCCCTCCCCACCCAGCCCCACCCCTCCCACCCCCCACCCAGCCCCACCCTCCCCACCCAGCCCCACCCTCCCCACCCAGCCCCTCCCCACCCGACCCCTCCCCACCTAGCCCCTCCCCACCCTCCCCACCCAGCCCCTCCCTCCCCTCCCAGTCCCTCCCCACCCAGCCCCTCCCCACCCTCTCCACTCCACCCAGCCCCTCCCATTTTTGGATGCACGACGGACTGACGGACACAATAATCCCCTGTGGGCTGGTGTAACCAGGAGGTTCCTACCAGTAAAAAAAAGATATGCACCCGCGATTCCTCATGTGAGGGACAAAACGAACCCACCAACCCAAATAGAAGTCAAACTCTGCCTCTGCCGGGCCTATCACTCGCCACTGATGTGCGCCGTGACGAGGAATCCCACTCACGTGTGCCAGGAATCCAACTCGGCGATGAGATAACATCTTCACCACCGTGTGGATCGTGTCAGTACGATCGTGTGGAATGAATCGAGAGGACCGAGCAAAGCTCCACAGCAAGATGACGACTCGTAGACATCTCTGGTAGTTTTTTTTACGATGATTATGATGATAATTATGATTATGATTATTAGTGTCCCGATGGGGCGCTCACGCTTTGGATGTGTTCACAAACGAGACTTCGCAAGGCGCCCGTCTTGTGGCGGCTCACGGGAGTCCCACGCACGAATGCCGAGCGGTCACGATGGTGGGGCCACGCGGGGCATTCCCGGGCCCAACGTGAGGGACGCCGGCCCCCTCGTTCGTTGGCGACTGTCGGGCGGAGCTGTCGATGGGACGGTGGCGCGCACCACTCACGGCCCCCCCGCCCTCCTCGCCCCCCCCCCCCCCCCCCCGTTATTCAGCCGACGGCTAAGTGTTCAATTATGTGGCGATGTGAGGTCATTCCAATTATGCCAAACAAATTACTGTGTGGGTAATGGTTTGTGATGAAGCGATGAGATTTTTTTGAGGTCTCAGCCCCTCGGCTGCGTTGGCGTTAAAAGTCGGCCGTGGCTGCAAACGATCAGAGTGACCTCGCTCAAATGAGCGCCGATGCATTGTGGCTCATCTCCTGTCGGCAGCCTTGAGTCAGTCGTGGGCATTCCACATGCCTATGGCTGGGGCGAGTCTACCCATAGGACAACCACTGCTGACTTCTCCACAAAGTTGTATTTACTTTATCGACCCCCGGAGGGATGATGGGCTCAGTCAACCCCCAACCAGGATTTGAACTCGCCACCTTCACGATTGCGAGCCGCTCGCTCCACTACCGGGACTCACCGAGTCTGGACTTGAGTGGACAAAGCATCTGGTCATGTGGGCCACAATTCCTTTAAAATAAAAAATTCGTGGATTCACGTTGAAAGACCCTAATTCAGCGTTCTTCACTTATTTTTTTTTATCGCCGATAAGACACCGTCAGTGTGAGGGCCGCCACACATTTGAAACCATTGTTGGGGTTGACAGCAGCACGACGACGATGATGATGGGGGGTGTTGTCACTCTGTGTGTCTTGTCGGGAGGCCGCACGTCAGGGGGGCCGTACTAAAGGCCACCAGGGCCCGCCAGTGGCCCGCGGGCCTTGCAATGAAGAACACTGCCCAAATTGAAGAACACGTGTTTAACGATTGACGTACTTAATTTTGTAACTGTGCTACGATCAGTCTGAATATAATCTGCCCGAGGCGACTCAAACGCTTCCAGGGAATATATTATTATTATTCAACATTGATTTTGTGTTCGTTGAATTGTTTTATTTATCACGTGACGCAGTTGTTTTCCCTCCGATTTCAGCTTGCTTCATTGCTGCACTTTGATCGTGTTTTGTGTTTGTTATTTTGGTGACCCGGGCCACTCTTGAAAAGGAGACTTCTCCTGGCCTCGCCAGTTCTCTACCTCGGTAAACAAAAAAATTAACTTTCACCCGACTTAACATAAATATCATTTTGCTTATGCTATCCTGCATATCCATAGTGTTTAACGATGGGTGGAGTTTTTTGGCCAGATGTACTCAACAATTTCCCGTCCAAAAATATTTGAATTCAACACAGGCATGCAAATCAGAGAGAGAAAACAAACATAATGACATCTGCGGTAATGTTTACAGTGTTTGTAATCACAGGACATAATCGTAAGCCTGCCTTCGGGCTCCAGCACATGTTTACGTTGCCGTGAGCCAGGGTACATTGTCACGGGGGTCTGTCACGTGCTGAAAAGGTGGCGTTAATTATAGGCTCCATTACAACACAGTACTCTATATCAACAGATGCTCTCTCACTGAAATTCATTCAGGAGTGGACGCAGACCCAAGACATCGCCACCCTGTACCCCACTGCAGCCCAGGATTAAAGAATTTAACTTAAAGTAAACAAAAATAGCAAGCTTCGAGAAAGTAGAATTCGTAGCATATTATATTTATACACAGTAATTTACATAAATAAAACAAGCTCTTCGGATTGACGGCACAAGATTAACAAATATAAGAGAAGACCCTCAACAGATTGGAGAAAGAGCTCCTCAAACTCTTTTACATTTGGGGAGCAAGTTCCAGAAAGGTTTTGGCAGCTGCCAAAGCCATCGGGTTTGTCGACTATTCTTTTCATTTCTTCCACCAACCAACCGGCCGTCCACAATGTCCTCCGACTGCTGTCACTCAGGTGGCTGCCCGGGTGCCGCCCGCACCCTCTCGCCGAGGATGAAATGCCACCGTGGGCAGGATTTCGCGGCGCTGAGAGACGCGGCCCTCGCTCATTGCAGTCCCTTTGAGGATCCCTGCTTCCCGGCAGGGCCCACATCACTGGGGTACGATAAGCTGGGGCCCTGCAGCAGGTTCAGCGACGGCATCGTCTGGAGGAGGCCATGGGTAAATATGTTTTATTTGTATAATATATGGTGTAATGGTGTTGTTGTTGTTAAGATGGGGTTTATCGTGATTTACAGATTTGAATATTTAGTTAATGTTTTCGGCATACCGACATTTTTTAGTTATTTTTCAGAAGCGACCTGGCCATCACAAATGATAGCTCAACGAAGTGGCTTAATATCGCATGGAAATGTATAGCGGCCGAATACCGGAGTACCCGGAGAAAAATCCACACGACCACAGGGAGAGATACATGCAAATTCAAATATACAGCAAGCGTCGGGGTTGGGATCGGACCCACGACTTCCTGTATACCAGGCGAGGTAGTTAACATCTAGCCACTGGACTTACAATCCAGAGGTCGCCGGTTCTGTCATCTCGCCAATAGAAATGGGTACCCCCGCAGTTAGTCGATCTGCAGGTCACATGCGGAGGGGTAAAGTGTGGGTAACTAACACTTCTTCCAACATGTCTGGACAGCGTAGAAGAGGAGACCAAATACAGCGTGGAAGAGTAGACCAAATACAGCGTGGAAGAGTAGACCAAATACCGTCTCGAGCGCCCTCGAGTCGGAGGCTCCTTTCCACCAGCTGTGGGTGTGAGCAAGCAGGCACCTCACTTCGATTCCTGGTCACGGCTCACACCAGTGTTGGGTTATATCTGAGCCGGTCCTCCTGGTTCACTGGGTTCCTCCCATCGCCAACACCCGCACCACCCTCCTCCCCAACAAATACTGTGACTGCTATCGGCCAACCATCCCAGGTGGTGAACATACGCAATTGGAATTTCACATCGCAGCAAACATCGGCCCGCTACTGCAACACAATTACTCGGTAGGATCCTCCAAATAAAAAAAGCAAAGAGAGTCAGCGAGGCCTCCCCGGGTAAACGACAAAGCGGAGTAGTAATAATAACAGCAGGTGTAAACATCCCGTGTGCGTTCACGTCGCGTTGATCTCATTCTCTCTTAAATACACCCAAACAACTGCATTTATCATCTAATTGGCTCCTAACGACCATGGAGCGTTGTGTGATGGACGCTTCACCTCCCCCCCCCACTTAGAGAAGTAAAGTCTGCATCAGTCGCCACCCGAATCACCTGCGGCACGCAAAACGACGCGCAGAGCGTTGGCGACGAGCCCGGCAACACAAATCCGTCGTGTTCTTGCGATGTCATAATAATCTAAACATGCCTTTAGATTATACTCTTTGGTTCTTTCGGTAAAGTCACGTAGTTAGAAATAAAATAAAATAAATCACGACGTTGCGATCGCAACACAAGCGGTCTGATGATGATCGAAACGTGATTTTTTTGTTCTATTTTATTTCTACCTACGTGACTTTACCGAAAGAACCAAAGAGTATGGATTCCTGCAGCCACGAAAGCTTCAAATCAAGAAGCCTTTAGATTATTTTGATTGTTTTGCTGGTCTAAAGTTACACGTGATAAGGGCACTTCGTTGAGGCCAGGTCGCTTCTGAAAAAGAAGCTACATTAGCTCAGTGGGCTTTGCCTGGTAAGATAAAAAAAATAGTTTGGTTTTAGCCGTATTTGAAATAGATTTGTTTACCTTTCCTATACCTTTCACTCTTATCGTGTTTTTTTTGTATTGTTTGTTGTTGTTGTAACGTTCTGACCTCGTGCCCCTACTGGACATCTGTTAAAAAAGAGCTTTATAGCTCATCGGATTTATTCTGTAGTATAAATTTATATTCCGATTCTGAGGACCCAGGCCGCCATTGTAAACGAGACTGCGTCCTGGTCTCTTGAGTTCTCTCCTGGTGCGACAAAACAAGGCGTGCACACGACGTGCACAGCACGTGTACAAGACGTGTACAAGACGTGCACAACAACAAAATTGCCAGGTTACATTTAGACGAATGGTTCTTAACCTGGGGTGCACGCTGTACCCCCTGGGGGTGCGAGACATGGGCAGTTTTTTTTAAGGTAAACCGAAAACACAGATTAAGCACGGGCACGTTAGTACAACTACTTTGTTCCATCAATCCTTTGTATTTATGAACATGATACAATTGTTTAACAATTGAGAACCAAAGGGCGTGCAAGGCTGCAGTACATCTTAAGAAACACTCGCTTAGACACTCGTGCATTTAGCTTAGAATATTTTGAAATAAAAACCAAATGCAGCAAGACCCTCCTGGAGAAAGGTCCTTGAACTCGGTGTGGGTTTTTGCTGGATACATCGGTAGTGTTATGAATATCACCTACCGATACCAGTCTGACGAACCGAAATTGCACTCACGCGCGCTTGTTGAAATCACGTTGTGTTCGTCTGTGTTCAAAGCAGGCATAGAAACAAATGCACCCGATAGCAGTCCCGTTTTAAACATCGCCATATCATCCATTGTTGAGCGTTTTCTCTCCATTAATCGACGATGTCATTTCGCAGGAGATCACCAGTGACCCCCACTTCATCGTGCGAGGAGCCAGCAGATTTGACCTGTGCCAAGGAAAGCTCGGTAGGGGTGTAAGCATGGGTTTTTGTGTGAGTTTATGTATATATGTATATATGCATGGTGAACTTCTTTCGCACCGTACGTAGCCAACCGTGCTAACCGGAGGTGCGTGGGAAGGACAACAAACTAAACACAAACAGCAGTTCTAAAGAAATGAGTTTACGAACTAGACGATTATTGAAAAGCGCATAGCTCCAGCGACTTCCTAATATCGGAAGAGCGTTCCAGACGGCCGCGGAAGCGCATCTGAAAGCGCCGCGCGATGCGGTGACTGCCGTCTTTGTTCGGCGGCCAACCAAAAGCCGCCGCTGCTGCTGCGAGGATGAGCGGAGTCTGTGTGATTGATGGTTTATAGCTCCTTGACGAGATCGGCCAGGTGATTGTCGTGGTTCATTTGTGGGTGCACCTGGGGCCGGCGCTAGAGAGGGGGGGGGGGGGCACCTGGACCAGGTGGTGAGAACGAACCCAAGAGGCCAGGATGCAAGAGTGATCCCCGGGGCAACAGTCTTGTCAGTAAGGGGGGGGGGCGGCGATGATTTTCCATCGAGTATTTGTAAAGCTGCGGAATTTGACGTTTTGAGTTTGGCTCCACGCGGTCCGCGGTGCTGCCCCTCTCACGCCAACGCCTTTGGCTGCACCAACGCACCCCTTTAAAAAGGCAAAGGGCGCAGCCCCTTGAGCTGCTTTGACTCTCATGGGCCCACTGCCGGCAGAAGGGACTGCCACGAGCGGGTGCTCGAGAGGGTATTCCCACGTAGTCCTCTCTTCCACGTTGACCGGATAAGTTGGAGGTGGGAAGCGCCCGCATTTTACACCCCGCACGCGGTTTGCCGATCGACGAACTCCTGGACAGGGGCGGGCGGTTTGGAGGGATGGTTGAGAAACGTTGACCGTCTTTTCAACGCGCCGTGCCGCGACTTTGAGTCGAACCTCTGTTTTGGAAGTCGAGTTGCACTGACCACCGCACCACTGTGGCAGCCCCGACATCTCCCGCACCCCCGATGAGCTCGGTGGGCTCCGTACGGCGCAAAGGAAAGAAGTTAAACCAACGTTTAAACGCACAGCATTACAAACATAACGTCGTTTAATTCGAGGTCTTGCGTGACTATCACTGCGGACACTTGCAGTGTTATACATTCAATCAAATTATCGCTCAAGTTTATTTTTTTCCTCGTGGAATATTCTACAGTGACCCTCTTGTGTGTTGTGACGTTTCAAACATCGTCTCCACCGGGCTGACGATGGTGATGAGAACGTCAGCCCCCTGCTGCGAAAAAAAAACACAAAACACGTGGCGGGTGGAACAGTGCCGGATTAAGCTAGTGCGGGGCCTGTAGCATATGTTATAAAGGTGCTCGGAATTAAAAAAAAACATAAATATTAAAACACAATTTGTTTACTTGCATAGTAAAGTAATTTTTTTTCATTTGCTATACAGCCAGATAATACGACAAATCGCTTAACTTAAACACCCAGTCGTTCATAAAAGTTGAAGGCGGTATAGTACTATAGTGATAGAACAAGTGCAGAATCACTGAACCGGAATTGATAACTTGAAAACATTTAGCACGGGGCCCTTGGAAGTTGCAGGGGCCCGTAGCATGTGTAGCTACTTTTGCTACTAGGATAATCCGGCACTGCGGTAGATCTCCTGGTAAACGCCTTGAGACTCAGGAAGACTGCCGTCCCGGGTAAACACGCGTCATAGGAATGACGATGCAGTGTAAACATCCCGTATCTATTCACGTCGCGTTTAACTCACTCGTTTAAATATACCTAACAACTGCAATTAGCATCTAATTGGCTCCGCGCGTGTGATGGACGCGACACCTCCGCTTACAGAAGTCAAATCTGCGTCCATTTCCACTCAATGAATCTGCCCGCCAATTAATCACCCGGGGTGTTACGGTGGAGAGATGTTAAATATCTCGCCTGGATGCAGGAGGTCGTGGGTTCGATCCCGACCTTGACACCATTTATATTTGGAGTTTGCATGTCTCTACCCATGGTCGCGTGGATTTTTCTCCGGGTCCTCCGGGTTGTCCCTCCCACGTTTAGAAACCACGTGCGTTTAGGGTATTTGGCTGCAATAAATTTTCCAAGCGACGCTAAGCCACTCCGTTGAGCTTTCATTTGTGGCCAGGTCGCTTCCGCAAAAAAATAAAAGAGCTGGGTAGCTCAGTGGGCCTTACCTGGTAAAATAAAAAAAAGATTAGTTAATTTTTTTAGCGATTTGCTCAATCTGGTCATGATGGCAGAATTGATGATGATGACGAGAACTGGATGCCCCGTTTCTCACCTCCTCGTGGCAGGAGACTGCTGGTTCCTGGCAGCCATCTCGTCGCTGACTCTCAACGAGAGGCTCCTGGGCCGCGTGGTGCCAATGCAGCAAGGATTCGGCACGCGCCACGCCTACGCCGGAATCTTCCACTTCAAAGTACTCGGCCACCTCCCTTTAGAACTCATTCCTCTAAGAAACTGCTCTTTGCGTTTCGTTCGTTGTCGCCCCCCCCCCCCCCCACCGACGATTAACGCGGTTGGCTACGTACGGTGGTGCAAAAAGAAGTTAAACAGACATACGTACAACTCTCTGCTACTCAAAAAAGTAACCCCCCCCAAAAAAATATATATATAGCACAGCAGGGATCAGAAAGCCGGCTGAGCCACCACGGCTGAGAGCCTGGGGGCCAGTTCCAGGCAGCTCTGCCTCTGGTTAAACCCGGTTTTTTTTTTCCTGCGGCTGATGTTGATGGAGAACAACAGTTGCAGTTTTACATTGGGCTGATTCATGAGCCAGATGATTGCGTCAGGGGTAGTGGAGTGCCGTGTCGCTACCGCGACGATGCCTCCTCCTCCTCTTCCTTCGTGATTGTGAATCGGGACACCGAGTCTCCGTTACAAGTCGCGTGGTTCTGTTCTGGGTGGTGACCGCAGTTTCCACACAACGACCGAAGCGGTTTTTTTTATTTTCCATTTGTGCATCATCATTATCATTAATTATATTATCAATCATCGTAATTCATAATTATCAATCAATAATCACTCATCATCAATGATCATCACTCATCATTATCACTCATCATCATTATCATCAATGATCCATCATCAAGTATTCGCATAATCTGCTGCTGCTATGGTTCGTGCAATGGATCATGAGGTTCCGGGGGGTGTGGTTCAATGAGCTTCACGGTCGGAAATCACAGCCCAGGGGAATCTTCTGCGTAGTTGGGTCCTTCACGAGGAGGCTGTTGTTGTGGTGGTTGTTGTTGTGGTTGTTGTTTTTTTGCAAGTTGATTGCCTCAGCCGATTTGGCAACGACTGTACGAAACCCAAACACAGATTCATCATTTGAGAGTACTCAAAGCACCGCACACAGAGCTCATTGCGCATGCTGTTTGTACATATTAATTATATACATGAATACATTAACGTTTGCTTTAATAATTCTTTTTGTGTAATACAAATTAAAAGAAGCATAAATAGAACCATCAGGGTGGTTGTTCAGATGTCGGGTACTGATCATATCATCTGACCAGCGTTAAATTGCTAAAATTCCGAATTTGGAATTCCTTGCTTGTCTCTACGATTAGCATCGTTAACCACTTCCTAAAGTTACTGGTGCACATTCGCGATGGCGTATACTTTTTTGGCACACGACTGCAAACGCGCTCAACTATCGCGCGGCTATTGCTCGTTTGCCCGCGGGATACTTCCCAGAGCGAGTCGTGACATTCGAAGCGTCGTCTCAACCCAGAGCTGTCCCGGTGGCGGTAGCTACGCTGCAGCACGTGGCTACCTGTGATCCTGCGCGCTGTATGGACAGCGAGGGTTGGTGGATCACACACGGATGTTGTAACTGCTCCGTTCCCGTGGGCGTCAAGAAGGAGCCATACCATGGCTGGCCAGGAGATGGCGGTACAACAAAGTGTGGACTAATCTCCATCTGGCCCATCTGTAATGGATGCAGTGCTGCCTCCTCATAGGCCTGGGTTGGTTCATGCTCCTTAGTAAACGGCCGATAACACCTTGATATGATTATTTAGATTATTTGGCTGATATACAGTTCAACATGATAAGCCACTTCGTTGAGCTATCATTTGTGGCCAGGTCGCCTCTGAAAAAGAGGATAATAGCTCAGTGGGCTTTGCCTGTTAAGATTGTAAAAAAATAGTTTAGTTTTAGTCGTATTTGAATCGATTTGTTTACCTTTCCTATACCTTTCACTCTTATCGTGGTTTTTTTGTATTTTTTGTTGTTGTAACGTCTGACTCCGTGCCCCTACTGAACATCTGTGACAGAGAGCTTTATAGCTCATCGGATTCCCCCAGTATAAAACAGGTCCCTGCAGGGTGGGCTGGTAGGAACATTGGAATTTTGCGCAATTTTATTTTTACACCCCAACAGCACGAGATTTCACTTCGTTAAAGTATTGAAAGGGGACGGACGGACACATTAATCTATTGCAGGCTGGTACACTCAGTTTACAACTTCGTTCCTACCAGTATAAATATTCTGATATATAGAGGACCGCAGAGCACGGAGGTGGGGACTTTGGCACCGTGTCACCGCGTGGCTGCTGCCGCTGCCTTCCCTTTCGTCTGCGGTTCCTCCTCCTCCTGCTGCCGCTGCCCCTGAGTGGTCCTCTCTCGGTGTCTCTCTACGAGAGAGCGAGGAGCGAGTGCCGCGCGGCGACGCGTTCCAAGTTCACAGCATCATCGTCGTCGTTGTCGCCGTTGCAGTTCTGGCGGTACGGCGAGTGGGTGGACGTGGTGGTGGACGACAGGCTGCCCACGCTCAAGGGGAAGCTGGCGTTTGTGAGGTCATGCGAGAGCAACGAGTTCTGGGGAGCCCTGCTGGAAAAAGCTTATGCCAAGTAAGTCACACCAGCCTGGCTCGAGAGCCGGGGGGATAGGTGCACCTCTCGTTTCTACTGCGCGCAGCCGAGCCGAGCCGAGCCGAGGCGGCCCCGGTCGTTTTTCCACCGCGCAGCGCGAGCCGTGCCACCGGAGTCGCGCGCGACGAAGGAGTTCGAGACGCGTGCGGATGACGCGGAGACGCTGCGTTTGAGCTGTGCAATGGATGCATCGTTAGCCCCGGCCCCCTGGCCCTGCGTGACCCCGAGATAGGTTCAGATGTTTTGTGAGACCACTGCAGCACGGCTTGATTCTGGAGCGTCACAGGATATGGCCGGCGAGAAAGCCACCCTGTGCGGTGAGGGCCCTGCACTGTAATAAAGTCCAACACAAATCCGGCATCGATTCAATTCCTGGCACTCGTAAACATTCCTGAATGTGACAAATCACACACAAAAAAAAAACTCCTGGACTGTCGGAAGCTAAACTGTCGGACCGGTGACGGTGGTGACCAATTGTGACGGAGGTGACGACGGTGACCGCGGCGACGGCGGTGACCTTTGCCGCGTGCGATCCCCGGGGGGCAGGGTGTGCGGCTCGTACGAGGCGCTGAGGTCGGGCCGCTTCACCGAGGCGCTGGTGGACTTTACGGGAGGCGTCAAGGAGCATTACCTCCTCGGCGAGGCGCCGCCGCCCAACCTGTGGCTCTTCCTGAAGCGGGCAGAGAACGCCGGCTCCCTCATGGGGGCGGCCACCCACCCTCGCCCGCACCCCGGGAAGCCGGCGGCGCGCGGGGACGCAAGCTTCCTGGGCCCTCACTTCGCCTGGCGCCACGAGGACGATTGCTCCGGGCCGAGCCCCCGGTACGGCTGGGGCCGCGACTTCGGCGGCCTACGGCCCAGCGCCTCCTTCTCCTCCTCCTCCTCGTCGTTGTCGTGCTCCGGCGTGGGCGAGCGTGTGCCGCGCACGCGGCCGGAGCAGAAGACCCGCGATGGGCTGGTGCTGGGCCACGCGTACTCCATCACCGGCGTGGAGAGGGTGCGCGTCGCCGGCCCCCGCTCAGCACGCCGCTTGCTTGCGTGCTCAAACGCTCGCACGCTCACCTCACTCACTCGCTCTTGCGCTTGCTAACTCAATTACTCACTCATTCACCTGCTCACGCACTAACTTACTCGTTCACTCACTCACCCACTCGACCGCTCATTCACTCACTCACTTTTAATGTCTTGGGAAGACTGACATATTTCTCAGGTCATTTGCGTGAAACCTAAAAAAAAATAGGCCAATCCGGGGGAAAACAGCTCAGATTTCATATGTATTTTTCGTAACCAGGCGTGAACTCAAGAGAGTAGGTTAGAGTCGCATTTGAAAAAGTAGCCTGGGGCATCAGTTTGCCGGAAGGCGGCGATGATTGCTGCTGTGCGTGCAATCCCGACTGAGTAATCCATTGCGGTGTCATTTTAGAACGTGGCAAATTTGGGCCCTGACGGTGTGCACACGATGGCACTACCCTTGCGCATGACGTCACGGGGGCTCTTCAACGTCCAGCGTGAAGCAGACGGCGCGCAGCGTTTCTCCGGGTTTTACACCGCCGCGGTGTTAACCAGGGCGGCCGCCGCACTCGAACCGCGAACCTCCGCAACGTGCGGCGAACGCGCCCACGCCCGCCGGGCCGCGTCGCCGCCCGCCCAGGTGGCAGCAAGCGAGGAACACCAACTCTGCCGCATGCTTTAAGACGGGGCGTCGATGTACGTTTGTTGTCCACCAGGTGAAGGTGGACGGCGAGGTGGTGGAACTGGTGAGGTTGAGGAACCCGTGGGGCAAGGTGGAGTGGAACGGCGCGTGGAGCGACAGGCATGGACCCACGGACCAAATGCTTCGCTCGCGTTTCCCTCGGGCAGCAAACTTAGCAGCTCCAAATAACCAATACCAATACCCCCGACATTCGTTGCTAAGTGCCGGTGATGTCACCGCAGTGCTTGTGCCAGGCTAGGTGCACTTTGAGGCCACGTGAAGTGTTGAAGGGTCGCTGACAGGAGGTCACGGGACAGACCCAGGTGCAGTGGGTTGGCCGACTGAGATGACTGGCAGATGCACACACAATTTTAAAACGCACATACAATATAACACACACAGATACACAATAACAGGCACACACACACACAGTCACCACCGGTATTGGTCGGCTGCATACGGTGCAAAATAATATAATTTTGGTCTCTATAGGCTCTTGCCTAGTTACGAATAAAGGCCCTGTACGCAAGTAAGTTCGTTCAGGAGATCAATAATGGCTGTGATCATTCAGTCGGATCTTAAGAAGCCTCGATTTATCAGAGGGGACACGCTGACAGAATGATCGCCGTGCTGCCAAACACGTGAAATCTCTACGCATACCCTTGTGTTTCAGCGACGCACTCGTAAGATGGGTTTGTTCGTCGACGAGACCGTGAGGGACGGTGCCGGCTTGGGGAGGCCTTCATCCGGCAGTGGATAGATCGTGGCTGATGATGCTCATGTCCGACACAGCAGAGAGTCACCTGTCATGTGTACGGCAACGTCTTCTCCCACACAGCTCACCGGTGTGGAAATGTGTTGACTGCGACGCCAAGAGGAAGCTGCAGGTGAAATTGGAAGACGGCGAATTTTGGTGAGACATTTGCCCCCCTCCCCCCATACAAAGACAAAGATGCCCCGTATAGCTTTAACAGACTGCAGGGGCAAGTGCTGTGAGCGAGCACCTTTGAAGGCCGGCACGGCACACGAGGGGGTCGGTGGCCAGCTCCACGCCCGGACGCCTTTGTTTCCCCAATGGCGACGTTTACGCACCGCACCAGGGACGGATTTTAGCCGAGTCCGCCTCGGGATTCAGATAAATCGTCACTGGTGATAGCCGTGAGCGAGAATATAACTCAGGTTGCCGGGTTCCTAGCTCAGCGTGCTAACCGCTGCACCACCGCTCCCCACCTACACACACACACCCACACCCACGTGGGTGTATTTATGTTAGCGAGTGGCACCTATGAAGGCCGGCAGGACACACGTGAGGGTGGGTTTCCCATTACTGGGGTCTCAGATCCTCCACCGGCGTCCGTGGTGCAACGGGGTCAGCACACGGTGGACTTGTGATCCAGCGCTTGCCGGCTCGATCTCCTGTCGCGGTGGTTGAAAAACAACGTGGGCAAGTTTATTAAACCCCCCACGCCTCCCGGCTTCTGTGCACCCCGCAGTATGCATGGGTCACTCCACAATTAGTCGATCGGCGGCAGGTGGTGTGTGGTGGTTGGGTAAAGTGTGGTAGCTACTCTGACCGTTCAGCAGTCGTCCGGTGCAGCCGGCGTGGAAGAGTAGGCGACGAAAACAACAACAAAAGCAACAACAACAACAACCCGTCTCGGGATTCTGCTCCTGGTAGGAGATTTCCCAGCAGCGGATGGCACTGAGCGAGCAATTGCAGGGCTGCGCCTTTACCCTTCCCAAAGGATGTCCTTGGAGGACTTCAGGAGACACTTCAAGAGGCTGGACGTGTGCCACCTGACGCCAGACGACGTGCAGAACGGCCCTCGCAAGACCTGGACCGTCACTATGTACCAGGGCAGCTGGCAGGCCGGCCACTCTGCCGGGGGCACCTGCAAAGGTGGGTCCACGCGGGCCAACCACTCACACAAGCCCTGTGCGTACCCGTGTGTGTCTGTACCTGTGTGTGTGTCTGTACCTGTAGTGGAGAGCGATAGTGTAGCGGTTAGCGCGCTGCACTATGAACCTGGCGACCCGGGTTCGATTCTCGCTCACGGCCAACACCAGTGACGATTATCTGAACCGGTCCCGGGCCTCCCCTAGGTCGACTCAGCCTCAAATGAGTACCTGGTGCGGTGTGTAAACATTGCCACTAGGGAGACAAAGGCGGTCGGGCGTGGTGCTGGCCACCCACCCCCTCGTGTACCGTTCCGGCCTTCATAGGTGCTCGCTAACAGCACTTGCCCCTACAGTCTGTTCAGGCTATATGGGGGATCTTTGTACCTGTGTGTGGGGAGCGGTAGTGTAGCAGTTAGCGCTACGCTGTGCTACGTTGCGCCACGAACCTGGCGACCCGGGTTCGATTCCCAACTCACGGCAAACACCAGTGACAATAATCTGAAACCGGTCTTCAGCCTCAAAAGGATGACAAAGGTGGCCGGGCGTGGCGGACACATCTCTGAAGCGACAATGCATAACCTCCCCCTACCCCCGTAAGCCCACAGCTGGATGCCAGCTGTGTGACCGTACTTCACCATGCTGGTCAGTGCGGGTTGGTGTGGCGGTGGGGGGAGGCGAGGGGAACCTTCCATACATTTCCCGTCGAATGTCACCGGCCGGCTTCCTTTCCCCAAGCGCTCCCCGTGTCTTATTCCCCCCCCCTCTCTCTCGCCCCCCCCCCCCGTCTCCATCGCAGAGACGTTCTGGAAGAACCCCCAGTACCTGCTGGATCTTCACGAGGCGGACGCGGAGCAGGAGGAGGGCGATGGCGGCGACGGCGGCGGTGGCTGCGGTGGTGGCGGCGGCGGTGGCGGTGGCTGCGGTGGCGGTGGCGGCGAGTCCGCGCTCTGCAGCCTCATCGTGTCGCTCATGCAGAAGCCGCGCGACGCTCAGCGCAACCGCGCGCCCTGGTTCTCCATCGGCTTCGCCATCTACAAGGTTGTTGTTGGTTTTGCGTTCTTCAAATCGCGCGCTCGTTAGCCCACGGCCAAGCCTCGCTCCCCTCGAGTCTCGTGGGGAGCGGTGATTCTACCTCCGGGTGCTGTAATTTGCAGGCGACACGAGCGGCCGGTTACTTAAGAGTGCAAAAGGAAGGTTGATGTGGTGGTTTTACCCATTAGAAAACGCGTTTTAACCGCTTATCTGAAATTTGATACACGAATGATGTTTTGGAAACTTAAAAAATATATATATGAAGATCTGGCGGTTCACCAGCATTGGCTGAAGGGAGCCCGACTTTGCTGATGAGACACTGAATGTTGAAACCGATCGAGCTGATAAGATACACTCCCAGAAGTCCGTGTGGCCATTGGGTTGTCTAACAATTACTTTTGATTATTTATGGTGGAGGAACGAATGACGGGAGAGGGGGCGGATTGTCTGCAAATTGACTGTGTTGATGTTGTTATTGATGATGATGTTGTTGTGCCGCAGGTTCCTGCCGCAGTACGTTGGTAACACGGAGCACGCACGCACACACACGCACACACACACGCATACACACACGTGCACGCACACACACGCATACACACACGTGCACGCACACACACGCGCACACCACACACACGCGCACACACATGCACACACGTGCACGCATACACACGCACACACGCGCACACACACGCGCGCACACACGCGCACATGCACACACGCGCACGCACGCATGCACGCACACGCGCACACCACACATGCTCACACACGCGCACACACACGCACACGCGCGCGCATGCACACCACACATGCTCACACGGCAGCTTGGGTCGACGGGCAGAAGGGGCGACTCTGCCCACACGCCGTTCACCCCCCTCTCGCACAACGAGGCTCCGATACGGCGCACGACTCCACGTCCGCAGGAAGGCGTTCGCCCAGGCTGCGGGGAATCCGCGACCTTCATCACACCTTCGCAAACACGCACCGCTACACACGAGCTCCAATTTATAGGTCGTGAGAACGGCGTCGTCGTCGTCATCGTCGTCGGTCCGACCGGCGCGACTTACAACCCCGCCGTCACTTCGCCGCTGGATGAAGGCCTTCCCCCCCAAACTGCGTCCGTCATATGTGGCGGCGGGGTTTGTTTGACCATACTTCACCGCACCGGTCGGTGCCGCCGTGTCGCAGGCGTGCGGGCGGCGTCTGTCCCGGGAGGAGCTGCGTGCCGCTGCGCCCGTGGCGCTGCTCGAGCGCTTCGAGGCGCTGCGCGAGGTGAGCCAGCGCCTGCTGCTGCCCCCGGGCCGCTACGTCGTCATCCCCTGCTCGCTGCAGCCTGGCGAGGCGGCCGACTTCTTGCTGCGCGTCTTCTGCTGCAGCTGCGACAGCAGCGAGTACGACGCCACGCGGTCGCTTCTTCTTCTTCTTCCGCTGCCACCCCCGACCCCCCCACCCCCATGCTGCCCTCCCCATGCCCCCCGTCCCCCCCTGCTGCCCTACCCATGCCCCCCGTCCCCCCATGCTGCCCTTCCCATGCCCCCCGTCCCCCCATGCTGCCCTTCCCATGCCCCCCGTCCCCCCATGCTGCCCTACCCACGCTGCCCCCTCACCCCCCCCCCCCCCCAAGTGTATCCCGGTTGTGCTCTCGGCATCATGTCACGAGACGTAGTAAAGTCAATTTGGAATGCTCGAGCGAAACTTTGCGATGCAGAATGACCCACGGAAGCAAACATCACAGAGCTACCACGCGACGCGTCTCGCAGTGTGGCTCTCTCTTTCGAAGTGAATTAATTACGATGGGAGGAAAAAAAAACGTCGATATTTGAGCTGTTGTTTTTATATTCCGCGTGTGACCATAGCGATTTATTTTTAGTATTTCTCCGGCGACCCCATGTCAATTGCAGCCACCGCGTGCGTTGCTTTTCAGGTTAACCGATGAGCTGCAAGAATGCGGAGCCCCGCAAGAGGTGGGCCACCACTTTTGTAAACGTGTTCTAATATCCTAATGGAATGTCGCATACATATACACAGTAATGTCATCGTGCTTTTGGCCTACCTAATTTCATGCCCGAGCTGCGGTTAATAATTAATCAAACACTGGCCCATGTGAGTGGGCGAGCAAGCTTTAATGGTTTAATTCGTATGAACGTCCTGCATATATGCTTGTGCCGAAGAGAATTTTAAGATGAACACGGTACTTTGATGGCAAACTTATATTCATTATTTTACAGTTCAACGGAATCTATTGTTGTACTGTACTGTGATGTACATGCTGCCCGGCTTCACCAACCCACAGGGACCACCCGGGACGAAACACCCACAAAAAATATCCTCCATGGATCGGCATTAGGAGGAACCTCATCCAGCAGTGGATTACCGCAAGGGCCGTACCGTGTACAAGGATAGTGGGTGCCACGGTAGCTGCGAGATGTTAACTCCCTCGCTTGGTATGCAGGTGGTCGTCGGTTCTACCCCGACCCTGACGCCTGCTGCTGTATATTTGGAGTTTGCCTGTCTCTCTCTCTCTCTGCCCGTGGTCGCGCGGATTTTCCCCCGGGTCCTCCGTTTATTTTCCCCTCGACGTTTAGAAACGAGCCTTTAGAGTATTTGGCTGATCTAAATTCCCACGTGACAAAAGCCACTTTCGTTGAGCTGTCATTTGTGGCCAGGTAGCTTCTGAAAAAAAGAGCTGCATAGCTCAGCGGGCCTTACCTGGTAAAATAAAAAGAGCCTCGTTTAGTTTTTTTTTTAATGCGATTGCTCAACGTGACGTTACCCTCCACCACTGCTGCTTTGGGTCCTGGACGACTTCCGTCCAGCAGTGATGTTGACCAAACGACTCTGCAGTAGTATACGTACGTATGGAAACACTCATTTCTTTAGAACTGCTGCTTTTTGTGTTTAGTTTGTTGACCTTCCCCGAACAACTCCGATTAGCGCAGTTGGCTACGTACGGTGTGAAAGAAGTTCAACGTACACACGTACGTATAAGTTGGAGACAGTGCACTTGTGAACACGTTTTTGACGGATGAAGTTCATCACGATTTTGTGATGGGCTCTTGTTGTTGTGGTTGTTGTTGTGGTTATTGTGGTGGTGGTTGTTGTGGTTGTTGTTGTGGTTATTGTGGTGGTGGTTCTGGTTGCTGTTGTGGTTGTTGTTGTGGTTGTTGTTGTGGTTGTTGTTGTGGTTATTCTGGTGGTGGTTGTGGTTGCTGTTGTGGTTGTTGTTGTGGTTATTGTGGTGGTGGTTGTGGTTGCTGTTGTGGTTATTGTGGTGGTGGTGGTTCTGGTTGCTGTTGTGGTTGTTGTTGTGGTTGGAACGCAGCCGGTTCTGCGGCATGAACAGCACGAGAGGCATCTCCTGCGGACCATGTGGAGCGAGCTGTTCCAGCAGCACGCGAGCACGGTCAGCCTCGCCACCACCAACACACGACACAACCCTCACCACCGCCAAGAACACAACCCCACGACACAACCCTCACCACCACCACCCCCACGGCAAAACCCTCACCACCAACACACGACACAACCCTCACCACCACCAACACACGACACAACCCTCACCACCAACACACGACACAACCCTCACCACCGCCAAGAACACAACCCCACGACACAACCCTCACCACCACCACCACCCCCACGGCAAAACCCTCACCACCAACACACGACACAACCCTCACCACCACCACCAACACACGACACAACCCTCACCACCAACACACGACACAACCCTCACCACCGCCAAGAACACAAACCCACGACACAACCCTCACCACCACCACCCACACACGACACAACCCTCACCACCACCCACACACAACACAACCCTCACCACCACCACCCACACACGACACAACCCTCACCACCACCATCAACACACGACACAACCCTCACTATCATCAACACCCCCACGGCACAACCCTCACCACTACCACCACCAACACACGGCACAACCCTCACCACCACCACCAACACACGACACAACCCTCACCACCACCACACGACACAACCCTCACCACCACCACCAACACACGACACAACCCTCACCACCGCCAAGAACACAAACCCACGACACAACCCTCACCACTACCACCACCAACACACAACACAACCCTCACCACCACCACCACCACCACCCACACACGACACAACCCTCACCACCACCACCCACACACGACACAACCCTCACCACCACCACCACCCACACACGCCACAACCCCCGTCGTCGCAGGAGCCACCTCTCGCTTGGTTGTGCCCTCCAAGTCGCGTGGCGACCGCCCGGATGTATTCACAGGGCTGCTCGCATTCCCGACCCCGTGCGTTGTGCCTCGTCTAGGACCAGTCGATTGGACCCGCCGAACTGCAGGCCGTATTGTCCAAGGCCGCTTCGAAATGTAACGTTGCAATCCCATCATCCACCATCTCTCGCTCGCTCGCACGCACGCACACACGCACGGCGTTCGTTTTGTTTCATTTTAAAAAAGCTTTGTGCGTCGTCTCGCATCGGTCGCACGTTCTCAAAAGCTGTTAACCGATAATTAAATGGTCGCACCTCCTACAGACCCCGCCACCATATCGCAGAGCTTCAGCTCCGGAACCTGTCAAAAAATCATCATCCTCCTGAATGTATCCTTTTATAACCAAGACTGGAGGGCGAGGGGGCGGGGGCGGTGGATTAAATTGTCGTGCAGTAAATGTTAAGCGATCGCAGCCCATGACAGCTGCACAGCATGTTCTTGGCAAAAAGTTATTAAAGCTTTAGAGTTGAATTCTTCAACAACATACGCTCTTCTAAGGCTATATATATAGAAACTGCATGTGGGACACTCGATTGACTTACACACTCACCTCACCCCGCACACCCATTCACTCACTCACCCACACACTCTCACAGTCTCGCCCTCACTAACCCATTCACTCGCCCACTCACCCTCACACCTACCCAGTCTCCCACTCACTCACCCACTCACTCTCACACCTACCCAGTCTCCCACTCACTCTCACACCTACACAGTCTCTCACTCACTCACCCACTCACTCTCACACTTACCCAGTATCCCACTCACTCACCCACTCACTCTCACACCTACACAGTCTCCCACTCACTCACCCACTCACTCTCACACTTACCCAGTATCCCACTCACTCACCCACTCACTCTCACACCTACCCAGTATCCCACTCACCCATTCACTCTCACACCTACCCAGTCTCCCACTCTCACACCTACACAGTCTCCCACTCACTCACCCACTCACTCTCACACCTACCCAGTCTCCCACTCACTCACCCACTCACTCTCACACCTACCCAGTCTCCCAATCACTCACTCACCCATTCACTCACACACCTAACCAGACTCCCACTCACTCACCCACTCACTCACACACCTACCCAGTCTCCCACTCACTCTCACATCTACACAGTCTCCCACTCACTCACCCATTCACTCACACACCTACCCAGTCTCCCACTCACTCACCCACTCACTCTCAAACCTACCCAGTATCCCACTCACTCACTCACCCATTCACTCACACACCTAACCAGTCTCCCACTCACTCACCCACTCACACCTACACAGTCTCCCACTCACTCCCCCACTCACTCTCACACCTACCCAGTCTCCCAATCACTCTTACACCTACCCAGTCTCCCACTCACTCACCCACTCACTCACACACCTACCCAGTCTCCCACTCACTCTCACACCTACACAGTCTCCCACTCACTCACCCACTCACTCACCTACCCAGTCTCCCAATCACTCGCTCAATCTCCCCACGCACTCAGGACGGGAGAGGGAAGCTGAAGAGGCGCAAAGGAAGTGGTCCTGCCCCAGCGACACGGTCACACCGTGTTGGTCACACCAACTCGGTCACACCGAGTTGGTGTGACCGTGTTGGTCACACCAACTCGGTCATACCAACACGGTCACCCTGTGTTGGTCACACCAACACGGTCACACCGCACGAATGTGGTGAGACGCGGACGTGGAGGCCATCGGTCCCACGGCTCGCTGCAGCGGCTGTGCACAGTGCACGACCTCGCCCTGGGCTACAGACCGAGCCACAGCAAATCGTGTGTCATGGTCTATGCACTTCTGGCTATAGCACCACATACCGATTAGCTTTCCCGCACCTCCCATTAGCGCCGTTGGCTACGTGCGGTGCGCGAAAGAAGTTCAACGTTCATTCGTGCAGCACTGGATAAACGTAATGACTGTGGTGGCAGGACACGACAAGGAGTAGATCATATTCCCTTGGGTGAATTTCCATCGCGAAATAACGTGAACAGTCGCCCCCCCCCCCCCCTTAAACCTTAATCCTTGCTCCTACTTTGTGTGTGTGTGTTTCTTAGCTTGCGATTGACATCTATCCACGGCAGACGAGCAGTTTTTTTGTTTCGTTTTAAGATCTGAAATTAGTTTTTAAAATTATTTGTTATCAACTAAATATGCGGCGTGTTCACAGCCATTGAACGCGCGCGAGCGTGTGAGGGCGTGTGATAATTACAAGCGGTCGTTTCAGCTCTTTTCAATTAAAAATGCATTACAATGCTCCGCTTTTGTCATCGCCGCGATGCCAGATGAAAATGGATTATGATGATGCTTAAGAATCTTTTTCACTGAGCTTTCGTACGTCCAGAAAAGCGTCTCAAGCAAACTTGCATCAAGGGAGTTTGAAATTCTCTCCCACAAGTTCACCCAAATCCACGTGAGTACTCAATGTCATCGCAATGGTGCGGGGAAGTTTCTTAAATACCCCCCCCCCCAGACCCCTCAACCACTCCCCCCCCTTCACCAATTGCCACCAACCCAGTAGCGCTGTAACGAACGAGGGGGGCAGGCAGGGGGTGCCTTGCCCCCCCCCCTCCCCCCCGGTGGCCAAGGCTAACGAGTTGGGGGCCCCCCATTGACAACCACCATGAGAGATGTTTTCAACAACGGTGCAAAAAGAACAAAACACCGACGTGACGATGCGATGAGGCAAAGAGGAGCCACGATATAGAAAATGGCCTCGAGGTGCGACCGTACGAGGCAAAAATCAAATATTGGGGGGGCCCACCTGACCGATTGTCGCACTCCCCTGAGCTGATAGTCGTCACTAGACCACTGCAGCACCCCCCCCCCCCTCACCACCACCACCACCAATCACCTTGGTCCACCCAACATTACTAAACGGGGGTGCAGCAGCGGCCGTTTGGCGATCGGCTTGTCGTGTGCGGTGGGGTTAGGCCCAAACACCGCCGTCGAGCTCGCTTCAGTGGAAGCCCTTCGGCCAGCTGGTCACGTGACCCGGCAATTGCAGGGCTGCGACTTTACCCTTACGCCAATGTACGTACGCGCGTGTGTTGAACTTCTTTCGCGCCGTACATAGCCAACAGTGCAACATGGGAGATGCGGGGTGGGGCGGGGGGAAGGACGACAACAACAATAACAAAAAGCGCTGCGTTCATGGTCGTCCCGTGTACTTGTACCCACCTTCGACACCGCGACATTGTCCAACGCTCGCTCCGTTTTTGCGCTCCGTTTCAGGATCTCTACCGTAGATTTCGCCTCCACGGCAACGCGGCGGCGTCTCTGCAATCCGTGCACCGGGGCCTCTACAAAGCGGGTACGCGGAGTGAAGCATCGCACACAGAGGACAAAGATCCCCTCCCCGTTTAGCCTTCACAGACTGTAGGAGCAAGCGGTGCCAAAAGAATGGTGGCCAAAAGAATGGTGGACAGCACGCACGCCCGGCTACCTGTCTCCCTCGTGGCGATGTTCACACCCCCCTCCCCCCCCCCCCCGCTGCTTTGAGTGCCATGCCGGCCTTCACAGATGCAACTCGCTAACAGCACTTGCCACGACGGTCTGTTCAAAGTCTATCACGGCGGCGGTGGGGGGGGGGGGGGGGCATCTTTGTCTTTGCACATTTTGCCAGGGCTCCCGGTGTCTGGGGACCTGGAGAAGCATACCCTGCTCAGGTACCTTGGCGGCAAGAGGAGAATCGACTTCGAGGATTTCCTCTGCTGCCTGCTGCACATCGACGCGCTGTCAGGTGCGGCGCGGTCGGTGGAGCCGGTCGACGTTAACGTTAACAAATGATGCTCTGCAGCGATTGAATTCCGGGGTGTTGCAGCGGTTTGGCTCGGACATCCAAGGCTGCGTACGCCCGATTGTGGGCTGCGTGAGCAACCACGTTTCGCCGTCGCCGCGCCGTTCGTACCGCGGCCCGACGTGAGGACCGCGCGCGCCTGTATCGGAGATCTGCGCCGCGTAGCAGACATCTCTGCCGCCCCGCAGGGCGCGCGTGGAATAGTGGAGCCCAACAGCTCATTGGGTCCTTCCCCCGCCAAAATAAAAACAAATCTGTCCGCCCTTATCTCGTCTGGGCGTAAGGTTAAGTTAAAACGTGGATGTCGATACTGAGATGACCGAGGATCGCGATGCTGCTGCTGCTGCTGCTGCTGCCGTGCGTGTGATGCCGCAATTTCGTCTCTTCTTTCAGGAACGGTGAAGGCCATCCTCCAACGGCCGGATATACAACCTGAACAGAAGGAGGTGCCTGGCATTCCCCACCCCCTCACTGAAACATGTAAACTACGTGGGACTTTTGCCAAAGCGCTCGATGAGATGTTATAGCCAGAATGTTCGACTCGGTGCTTCGCTCAGCTGTGTCATCAGCTAAACGAAGAGTGTCCTGTGTGTGTCGCTTCATGCAAAGACAAGGATCCACCCTGTAGCCTTAACAGACTGTTGGGGCAAGTGCTTTTAGCGAGCACCTATGAAGGCCGGTACGGCACACGAGGGGGTGGGTGGCCAGCATCATGTCCGGCTACCTTTGTCTCCCCAGTGGCGATGTTTACACACCATGCCAGGTACTCATTTGAGGACAAGTCGACCATGGGGAGGCCCAGGACCGGCTCAAATAATCGTCACTGGTGATGGCATTGAGCGGGAATCGAACCCGGGTGGCCGGGTTTGTAGCGCAGCGTGCTAACCGCTACACGACCGCTCAGCTGTACTCACACACATCAAGCAAAGGCCCGCAGTTTATATATTCTTTAGCGTGAATAATAATGAGAAAAATAATAAAAGGGGATCAGCTCGTGTGTTGGTGCCAAGTGGCTTATCGCAAATTGCAGGATCGTGAGAGATGAGCGATGGCGGCGTTTTAGGGGAGGCCTTCATCCAGCAGTGCATCGATCACGGCCGACGATGACAAGAAACCCAGGATGTACTGCGGGTTGCGTTAGGAATGCTCGGTCATCGCTGTGCCGAATTGCCTTTGTCCTGACAGGGCATGCCAACAAGGCCATGCCCGATTTAAGCTGCACAATGCGCAGCGTTCGCTTAAACCTCGTAGTTATAATCCTCACGTCCTGAACCCCTTTGGTGACGTGGACTAATGGAAGTGTTTCTTGCATCTATTGATTTATACAATGAGCTCATCTTGATCCCCCCCCCTTCCCCCCCCCCCCCCCCGCGTGTCTTCCCAGTGGATGAAGAGGATAATGTTCTTTTGAATCCCGCCGCTCGGAGAGGGCACAGCAATCCGCTGTGCGCAAAAGAAAAAAAGAAGCCAAGTAGAATTTACGCTCATTCCTCTCGCTAGATCGCGAGCAAGCCCATTGGCTCAACGCAGTTTCTTTTTAACAAATGAAGGAAACAGCCTTTTTAGCGTGGATTACGAAGAGCGATACTTACATCCAAGGTTTCATTTCTCATGTAGCATTTTCTGGAGGCCCTCCAAATCCCCAACCCCCCATGGGCACAATCCCCCCTCCCCACCCCTCCCCCAGGAGAGGAAAATAGCTCAGTCCCGGACAGCTCCGGCTAAATTTAAGCCCTGCCTTACACGAATAGACAAGCAAAGAGATCGTGGTTAGTTTGATCAGTAGATATACTGCGTCGTCATGCCAGGGTTTCTCTCCGCAGCATGGAGCGTGATTTACATTTGAGGTTGTAGTTCCCGGCATCGTATGTAAACGTCGGAACGGGGACGGTGTAATAATCCTGTGGGCGATGCAGGTTTGCGGAACGCGCCTAGGAAACCCGCCGGCTTAATTCCTGCATCCATCCAACACCTCGGCGGGGTTGTTTCACCGACCGTACGGTCACAGGTCAAGGTGCGCACACGTAAAGCATTGCGGTGCCTGATCACTGAACGTTTACGTGCACATTAAAACGTGTCGATGGCGGTACGAAACCTCGATCATTCGTCTGTTTGTTGAAACGAGACAACAAAGCCGATCTACAGAATTCTAGTTCCATTGCCCTCTCAACGCTAAGATTGGAGAGAACCCATGATAAAATTGACACGTTAGGGGACAACCGACCATCCGAGGAAGCTGGATTGAGAAACCACATAAATGCGATGAACCAGATTCTACGAGAGGCAAAGTCGTAAAAAAAAATGCAATTTTAACGTACCTTGGATTTTTGTCGAAAAGGTGTTTTCATCTGTAGCATTGTAATCGCAGTCGTTTGGTGTAGGCCGGAAGAAGGCGGTGACCTGTGCAGCCGTATCTTTGGTGTCCCAGAGCCCAGGCTGGGATCCGCAGTGGTGGAAAACGAGAGAGGTTATTTAAACAAATCAACAAATCGCACGCAAGCTCAAACAAAGCAACGGAATAAATAGAGAGAGGGAAAAAAACAGAACAAATGTAAAACAGCGGATAGTTTGTCAGTCAAAAAATATATATGGTGTGGTACATTAGTGTTCTTACAACCCGAGAGATTTTGATTTAAAGCTTTCGTGACTGTAGGGATTCATAGTCTTGGTTCTTTCGGTAAGGTCACGTAGAAGGGAAACAATAAAATAATAAAAATGAGAATAAATTGTTTCCCTTCTATGTGACTTTACCGAAAGAACCAAGAATATGAAACCGGGTGATGCAGTAATAACAAAAGATAAATTGACGTCATTTAAACACGATTTAGGAAGATAGCACAGCTGAGATTGCACAGCTGAGATTTCCCTCCCACGGAGGCCACGTGCAGCGACTCTGGAAGGCGCGTTCTGACCGCTCGATTGGAGACATTCCAGGCGTAACCATAACACGGATGTAGCCAGTTGTAGTCGACGTACCGTCCAGTGGAAATGAACCAGGAGGGAATGATTGAACAACTAAATTATGGCTGCAATTTTAAAAAGGACACAACTGAAATACACAACGGAGTGTGTGCTTGTGTGTATATCTAGGATATCTATTGAAAAATGTAACATCACAATAAATGAGTGAAAAGGTTAAACGAGCAGGGCAGGTCGCGAGTGCTTTTGGAAAATTGTCCTGCAAAATGAAAACGCAACAATACAGCTGGAGTTTGCAGTGCACGCTATTTTAATACCTGTCATGACATGGTTTGGAAAAAAAACCACGCGAACACCGACAAAAAAAATGGTACAAAGGCGCTGCATAATAGGTGCACGTTGGGATTTATACCGCGGGGACAGAAGAGAGGGAACACGTGGGGGGGGGGGGGGGGTCACAGGGCCAACGCGAATCAGAGGCGGCGGGCGGAACGTGCCGGGAAGCGAGAGGGGTGGCGGCCACCAGATAAGACTGGTGACGGAACGGCAGCACGTTCCTTCCCACCGCACCTCCGATTAAGCACGGTTAGCGACGAGCGGTGCGATAGAAGTTCAACGTACGTGCATTCAGTCAGAGTGATGGCACTTTTTTTTCCGGATCAATACAAAAATGTTTTCCCCCGGATAAGGAATTTCGCATCGAGGCCGCATCTGCGGGAATTTCAGATTAATACAAACATTGGGAAAGTATCCCACCACCCCCCCCCCCTGGTTCTGAGATGTCTGCAAATTGCAGGGTGGTGTCCCGTTTACCGCTCAATCTCGGAAAACGCAAGCGGTTCCACGCCTATTTTATTTAGAGGAGGCGTAGCAGATGCCATTGTTTTAAAAAAGACATTCTTACTCACCGCAGAGAACCGGAGCGATAATTGGCGCCAATCGGTGCCACACGCCCTCCTGCATGGACTTGTGGGAGAGCCTCGGTACTGACAAAAGGGTTAAATGGGCAACTGCATGGGAACGCCAGGTGCCTGTCACCGTAGGAGGGGGGTGGTGGTTATTTTAGAGACAGGCAAAACCCTTTGGGATATGAATTCTCGTGCTCGCAGGGGACCTGCGGTGACACCACGGACACCTGGTGACTGCCAGCTTTGTCCTTTACTGTGCGGGGATTTTTTGAGTTGCTTCCCCCTCGTCGCCCACGTGGGGTTTCTTCTTCCCCTTCGGAGAGCTTCGGTTTCTTCCCACGTGGGGCGAATTTGGCGAAAAGGCGCACCAAGTGCACGACCCGCGTGAAGAAAAGCAATTTTGAGGACTCGTTGAGGCTGTCCTGGGTAAATAAGAGGGTGGGAGCATTATCGCGTGCAGCATTCGTTTATGATCGTTGGTGAACGTTGTTCCAATGTCGACCGTAAAAGTCTGATCAAGTCTATTAGATCTATTAACTGCGAGACTGATTCAAATAAAAACCACATTACCATTTGTTTCGTCGTCAAATAGGAATTTATTTCTTTGTAGAACAACGCACAGAAGGAGGACAAGCGAGCAATAATGCGTTTGTGCGATTTACACATTGTTCTGCGACTGCCCACCTCGGACGCCACAGAGACGAGAACCCATGAACAAGAAAGACACGGAACGTACAGGAAACGGCGTGCGCACACAAACGCGCAGACGCCTGCCAAGACGGGTTTCAAGTCAGCGGGGAGCCATTGACCCAGCGTGCGTTTGGACGGAAAGGCGAACCACGATTGTCACCGTGCCGCTCTTTTTCCACCGGCACACCCGAACCGAACCAGCGCCGGGTTTGCCAGTCACGGTTGCGGGGTCGTCTTTTCCCTCGCCACTGCCTCTTTTCCGTCTCCCCGGGCCGGAACTAAACCGTGCTAATGTCATTTGCCGTCACAAGAAAGGCATCCGAATCTGCTTCGTGGCCAAGGTTAGTTTGGGGGGCGGGAATGACGACGTCGATCGTCACGCCCGACGTCGGACGCACCCAGGGGGGCACGGCGTTACCGCGTCACCTGAGCGCTCGTCTCGAGTTGCACGACGGGCGGGCGGCCCATACACCAACGAATCTCGGAACGCGCAATCGGTTTCGCGTTCACTTTATTGAGAGAGGCGTGGCGAAGATGGTTTTTAAATGACATCGCGATCACCGCAGAGACTGTGGCGACACGACCACACACTGTACGATAGCAGGCGCCAAAAACTGTGCCACACCGCCCTCCCGCATTGCCATGTGGGAGCCTCGGTACCGATAAAGTTACGTACTTTTAAGTTTAGTTTTCTTCCTGCAAAACTGATGACGTACATCATTGGAATGGGAAAGGGTTAAAACGATTGTCAGGTCTCCCGTGTGCGACTGAAAATGATTAAATATATAGCACACAGGACATGTATAAAGTATTGCCTCTCTCTTCGAGCGAGTCAACAAAATGCGCTAACATCAAACTTTCAGTCCAAGTATTTTTTTGTTGCTTCAATACTTCATATATAATTAAAAAAAACCTATTAAAAGTGTTTACAAATCTCCCAAACCACCCGGTTTTCAAATCTTCCAAAAAGATAATTTAAGAAAAAAGTTAACAGTGACCAAGCACTTAAGCATGTTTACCCTCTCTTGAGATCTTCAATTTTATGAACGATGCTCTCCAGTTCCAACTCCATCGCTGCGATTTCTGCGAGTTCTTTGTCCTGCGAAAGAACAGCGCCAGACAATTTGCTTCACGCTGTGCACAGCAACACAAAGCTACCTTTTCAACTTTCATATCGTCAGCCGTGGTCAATCCACTACTGGATTAAGTCGGCCCCCTCCCCCCCCCAAGCCATCGCCATATCTCCTGGTCCTGCAACGTAATGATCCAAACCCCTGGAACGTTTCATTGCTCCATCTCCCTATGAACATAAAACCCAGACGCGTTCCATTCCTTTGCTACCACTCCCATCATTATTCTTGACCACCTGCCATCGTTTCCCGCACCTCCTTCTAATGGTGGCCAGGCCCTTTTGTGCAAGAGGTGAGAGTACCCACACTTTACCCCACCGATTAGCACAGTTGGCCAAGTTCAGTGCGACAGAAGTTCAACATCGTCTCTTCAAGCGTTGTTTCCTCTCTCCGAAGCCCACTCACCGTTCTTAAATTTGAATTACGTCATCAACCTGTGCCCTTGATCCACGTGTTCCTCTTTCGCCCTTTGAATTTTATTCCACGTACGAAGGTTTCCTTTATTTGTTCCACACTTCTTTCTTCTTACGATATTGTCACGGAAGATCATTCGCACCGATTCAAAACCGATTAAAACCCAGTCTCATGCGGATTCATGTGTTGTCGTCTCGTATTAACGCTTTCCCGTTCCAATGACGTGCGTGCACGTCACCAGTTTTTTCTTCCGATTCCATTCCGATGACGTACATGGACATCATCGTCACGAAACCGGAAGAAAAACTAAAATAAAATCACTTTTATTGGGACCGAGGCTCCCACAAGGCCATGCGGGAGGGCGTGCGGCGCAGCTTGGCGCCAGCTGTCCGTGCAGTGCGGTCGTGTCGCGACGGTTCTCGGCGGCGAGTGCAAACGTCCTCAAGAACAACGGCGCTCTCCAAGTAAAATTAACACCGAGCCGCTTGCGCGTTGCAAGATTCAGCAGTGAACGGGACACCACCCACCCTGCAACTTGCAGACGTCTCGGAACGGGAAAGGGTTAAGTTGAGTAGAATTCACTTTCTCTGGTCATCTGCACTGCCGAGACATTTCCCACGATCGATTCTCGGCCCCAGACATTCCTCTTCTCTTCTGCCTCGCTGCTTCCATGTTACACTTCAACAATAATATCATCTCAATCCCACCTCCGGCCCTCTAGGAGTTTAAAAACAATCGTTCCCCACTCTTTATAAAATAAAATCCCTTTCGGCACGCGAGCGTACTTTGGATGAGGACGCATGTAGACACTGTACGCGTCTGAATTGTATATTTTTAAAAGTTATTGTGCATTTTTTCTTTACCTTAGCTTCTGATCTCAGAAGCTAAGCAAAATTGAGCCTGGATAATTTATAGGATGGGCAAGCACAAGCACCAACCAGCTGTCACAGGCCTCAGAGACGACTTGGGGGACAGAAGTGCAGAGAAATCCATAGTTGTCTTCCACTTCTATGCTCCCACGTCTATGGCCCCCCTGCCTTCACCACCACGTACGGGCATGTGTCGTGCCATGCACTCAAATAACCCCCACGACCGCCATGGTATGGGGAGGCCCTCATCCAGCAGCAAATTGGCAGAGGACTGTCTATACGCACCTGCACATTGGACACCGTGCAATTGTTTAAAAAAAGTAGGGGGACGTTACCTCTTCGCTGCTGCTCCAGGCCGCACGACTGCCACGATCCGTGGCTCCGTGGGGATTTCCCACGAATCCCTCCGAACCGATCTCCCTTCCCGCCTGGCGCGTGGCGGCGGTACCACCACTACCAGCAGCAGCAGCAGCAGCAGCAGCAGATTCTCGCTTTGCAACCGCTGCGTCGCCAAGCGCCAGCGTAACGCCGGGCGCGTCGTCACTCCGTTCCCTCTCCGCAGGAAGCAACGCGGCGGTGGCGGCAGTGGTGGCATCGTCTGCGGCATCTCGACTGGGACCCCCCATGCTCGCCTTCCCACCAGCGCTCTGCAGGGTCATCCGTATGAGCTCCTCCTCCACCTTCTCGCCCTCCGACTCGCCCTCTCGTCCACGGCGCTCCCGCAAGCCGGCTCTTAGATCCGTTGCCCTCGAGCTTCTCCCTTCCTCCGCTTCTCCATGGCCTCCACCGGCATTCTGGTGGCGGTCGTCGTCATCGCCTTCGCGGTGGTTAGGAGCCGCGTTCCGTTCCTGTTCAGAAAGCGTCAGCGGCGCGGGTCGTTCGCTTTCACGTTCGTCGCTGGGATGCCGGGAAAATCTCGCGCCTTCGAGATGCCCCCCCCCGGTTTGATAATCTCGGCCGTCTTCGCCGTCTTCTCTTTCAATCGACCGCGTCGCCCCGTCCCCACGGGCACGTTCGCGGGTGTCGTCGTCGTCGTCATCGTCGACGCCGTCGCCCTTCGTGACTACGCGAGGCTCAGCGGCGTTGTGCTCAAGGCCATCTCCACGCAGCTCGTATCCCGTCTCAACGTTCCTCGCCTCGATTCCAAGACCTTCACTTCCGCGTCGGCTCCCACCGCGGTTCCTGTAATTTACGTTTCTTTTATCGACGGCTGCCGATGTATCATCATCATCGTCATCGTCACGTGTAGCCCCATCGCCTGGTCCCCCCTGCTTGACGAGATGCGCGCGTTCTCCCTTGGTCACTCTCCCCATTCCTGCCACCCCTTCACGCGCCCCCTCCCCGCCGTGCTGGACCCACTCTCCCGCGCCTCCCAGCGGATCCTCTCCCCCTTGGTCACTTTCAACCGGGCGATTGGCCCAGGCGTCCGGCACCGCCGTTCTCTCGGCCTCTTGTTGGCGCGGAGCTTCAATTAGTTCAGCTGCGGAGAGGGGAAATCACCGTTAACTCGTGCCGCAACCACTCTCAATTCAACGCCAACAAACACACACGCACGGAACGTCTATTTTCTTTCAAAATAATCCTCACCGTGCCTGGAGAGTTGCTGCAGCACTTGGATTAAATCTTTACGATGAAGAAAGCCATTAATTCTTTCATCTGAAAAAGACAACATTAAAATTACACGCTTTCAGAAAGCGATTTCCAGCGCTGTATTTTATTGTCCATGCGCTCAATACGCAGCGTCGAGAGCCGGCACACGGGGAAGGAAGCGATGTCGAGGCGGTGGCATCAATGATCTCTTCATCCAGCCTCCCAGCCAGAGATGAAATCTCCTTTGGCAGTGATGAGCAACCCAGACGAGTTAGTGGGCCACACGAGCGACCCTCCTTCACCCTAGACCAGGGGTCGGCAACCTGTGGCCCTGGAGCCGCATGCGTCTCTGCGAGGACCGCTGCTTCGTGATGTTATCCGCCCTGCGTTGCGGCTCTTCACCGAATTCGAAAAAAAAATTGCTCTTCTTGTTATTTTGGTTGTCGACCCTTGCCCTAGACACGCTGAGACCAAGCCACCACGAGGTGGGGGAAAGGCCGCAGGGTGCCCACCAATCTCCTACGGTTCTCACGCGGCCAGAATTCCAAAACGCATTCAATGGACACGACGTGCACTGCCGGCGTCCAGCACTGTGGGGGTTAAGGGTCGGTGGATCTCGCCAATTTGTGGACTAATTCCCCCACCTGTATGGGAATTGAGCGTTACTCCGCCTCCTCCCTCGCACGTGTGGGTTGTCTCCGGGTACTCTGGTTCCCCCACCCCACCCCCACCCCACGTATAAACGCTCATCGATGGAGTTGGCCAAACATTTTAATTTAGGGCCACAAAGCTCAGGCATTGTGTTGCCATGGGTTTTCTGGCTTCCCCGTGGCTCCGAATCATTCCCCCTCGCTCTCTCTTTGAGGAGGAGTGAGAGAAAAAGTGTGCGAGTTACACATTCTAGAATGTTAGTATTACCATCATGCAACGGCTATCGACCCATCTATCCATCCCCTTGTCCCCATGCCGGCGGAAGCCTTTTGCGTCTGGTGTCCGTTTTACCTTCTCGCAACACGCGGAGGCAGTTTTCCGTGGCGGGCGCAGGGCTGGCTTCCGAGATGGCGCGAGTGACCACCTCACCGACGCACCTAGCCACCTGCCGAGCAGAGGAATTACTCCCGAGGTGAATCGCGGTGGCGGGCAGGTGGCGGGCAGATGGTGGCGGCGGTGGCGGCGGCGGTGGCGGCGGCGTTGGCGGATGATTGGGGTCAAGGTCACAGAGAGGTCATCCAGCGGCTGGCCGCGAAACTCGGGAGCCCGTTTTTAATGATCGAGCCGCGGGGAGGCAGGCGACGCACGGAGGTGGTGGTAAACGTACAGGCCAAGAAGCTGTGTGTGTGTGTGTGTGCGCGCACACGCGCGCGTATGTACGTAGAACTTCTTTCGCACCGTACGTAGCCGACCGTGCTGAAAATCAAGAGTCCAGGAATAGGTCCCAAATTATTATTCACCGGCTTCGCGTCAAAATTGTTGTGACATTGCTGCTGCTGGTTTTTTTTATTTTTTATTAAAGGGCCACACTTGCACAACTGTAGCGAACGTACGAACTGACAAAACGCACGAAAAAAATGGTCGCGGCAAAAATTCTAGCTGCCCGACCGACCGCACCTCGACGCGAGCGTACAGCTCCATGCGACGTTCACGTTACGGTTTCCTTCGCAGCATGGCGGTCGATGCGATTCAAAAGATTTGAGAAAAAAAACGACGCCAATCAAGGGGATTAAAACGCCGCTCGGATCGCTGCTCTGCAACGTCGACTCCCTCGCCGTCGAGCTGCCTCTCCCCCACCTCCATATCAACAGCAGCTGACATGTTCACCGACGCTGTCGTGACAGATGCAGTGCAGCGAGAGAGACGAAATTATCGTGAAGCACGGTCATTAAATTACACGAGCGCTCGCGTACGCGAGATGCACCCTACACCCCTCCCTCCCCCCGCCGCCGCCCCCCCCCCCCCCAGGCAGTGCAGTTTTTGTGCGGAGAATTTCGCACAACGATGTTTTTATATATATCGTTTTTTTTCTACTTACGCTATCATCTGTTGTCAGCAAAGTCGCCGGCACGGGAACGGACGACACTGAAGAAGAGAAAAAAACAAAACAAGAAACAATTCCTCCATCACACGCGTGGACGTAAGAAAGCGGCTCGTTACAGTACCTCATGTCAATGTATTTGTCCTTCCCCCCGGCAACTCAGATTTGCACGGTCGGCTATGTACGGCGCGAACAAAGTTCAACGTACATGCATTTGCTTCGCACCTTCTTACAAAAAAATAGAAGTTTAGCAGTTTTTTTTCCTCCGGGCTTATTCGCAAATCATTTCCCACGAGCATTGTGTGCGACTGGAGCAACGCAGAGTGTAAGTGTGTACTTGTGTGGGAATTAATCTATAGGGAAGGCAACGTGTAAAAAATTTAATTTAAAATCAGGCTCCCATCACCAACATCGACAGCACAATTCTTAATGAGCCACGTGGTTCTCATATAGTCTCACGCACTGCAAACAGATACCGTGAACACTCTGGGAAATGTTAGTGCTTAAAAAACACGCACATTGAGAAACAGTTCATTTGTTATCACCTTTCATTGCAAGTTAGTCATCGATAAAAAAAAATCTTCTTCTTTCAAACGGCCAAATAAAAAGCAGCCGTTTCGAGATTCAGCCACCGGGCGAATTCGCCTTTCAATTGCTTTGTCTGAGAATGGTGAATAGCTGATAATCCGCTTTCAAGTCCATTTTTATAATTTATATTTTTAAAATCGCACACACCATATAGGATTTGTATTGACAATCAAATGTACTCGGTGCATATCTCAAACTCTCTATGTGCTGTGTCCTTTCTCAGACGTTTCTGAGATCATGATATTCCATCCACTGCGCACTACTCATGATATTACACTCAAGAACTTTGCATGGGAAACTCCCAGTTGCATCCAAGTCTGCCCTACATTATCTATAAATAAGGAATGAACGCTTCCGCAAGGTAACTCAAGACCCACAGGAAAAATCGCCACGACGAATACACATTCCTTGCAGATGTTTGCTGCTAAAGTCGTGAGCCAATAATCACGTTAGTCAATCGTCACATTGTTGTCCGTGATCATCACGTTGGATGGGTGAAGTGGCTCAGCGGTGGCGCGCTCCACACTCGTTGCAGAGGCTCACGGTTCGAATACAGCGGCCGTCCTAGTTAATACTGCTCATGCAAGAACCGTAAATGATGGGAGGTGATACCGGTAAGCGTCTGCTTCGTCGTGGGATGTTAAAGATCCTGTGATGCCACTCGTAACGGAAGGCCACTGTGTGCCGGCGTCATGGTCCAAAACTGCCAAATGTCAAAATGTACCCGCACATTTACTCGGTTGGAAATCTACTGCCAAACCCTTGGCAGGACCCTCCTGAAAAAAGTTACGAGCGTAATAGAAAGGATGTTCTCATTGACTCACTACCTATTACACAACCACTCTCCGGCACCACTCTTCGGCACCACTCTCCATGCAGCAATCTGCCGCGCGCGCTGTCCGTGGTGCTGAAGCTAATGCACGCTCCGGTGTGTTATTTGTTACGCTCGGTTTTTTACCCAGCAGGAAAGCATCACCCGAGTCTCACGACTCCTGTCTAGGAGGGTCCTGCAAAATGTTTCGCAGCAGGGGGCGATGATCGATTGCTATTCAGATTCCAATTGAGTGAAAAGAAGCAGTGCAACCGTTCCAATTTGGAACATCTGGGACCATGCGTGCGTGATATTTGCGTCGAGGGAAAGCGACGTGGGTAACAAGGACAGGAGCTACCACGCGATACCACCACCACGAGACCACAGCGACTGGCGCAGGCATAGACGCTACGTGTCGCCATGTGCCAGTTCTCTTTCATGGCACATTGTATGCAAAATTAAAACGGTTTTTTTTGGCGATGCTGCTGCGTTTGTCAGTGGTGCACGAACAACAAACGCGACACGTTCGTCAATCACACTGCCTCAAAAACATAAATTATACAATAGGTGACGTTTATGGCAATGGTCCTTCTCCATAGCTATTCGCAGGACATGCAGAAGTGCCATTGCCTGAAAACGTCATCTGTTAACGCCTATATATTTTAATTTCAAGGTCGCCGTGTGTCCAGCTTTTATCACATTTTCAGCGTGCACCCCCTCCCCCCTTCACCGTTCCCTCTTCTTAGCATCCTGCAAAGATTGAATAACCAAGAAGAAGCATCATAAGGGTTGTGGATGTGTGCGCGACTCACCGGCAACCAGGCAGGCGCAGAGGCTCGCCAGCAGCAGGCGGTTCATCTCGGAGAGCTCGAAGAGACCGATGCAAACGGCGTATGTCTGGGTCGCCTAAACAGCACAACACGGCCACACAACCCTCTATATGGGAAGCAAAAACTTGAGATCCCTTTTGGTGCACGCGCGGTGCTGTGGGCAGGGATCGCGAGTGGGTGGGAGTGGGTGAAGAGCTTGTATAGAACGCGTATTAGATATAGAAGCGCATTGCTAAAATACATATATACAATACACCGTATGGTGATTGTTTGAGCAAGTATGCAGGACGAGCGGCGAGATGAAGTCGCGAACACACCGACGCAGATGCGCACGTGCTCACAGCAGCAAAGCGGTGCTGTGGAGACTGCTGCTGGAAGCGGCTGCTTTTAAAGCCACGTCGGGAGGGGGGGTAATGGAGAGGTGGGGGGAGGGGAGGGAAGCGGTGGTGGGATGGCGGTAGGAACAAAGGGGGGCGGGGGGACTCATTGCGTGGCCAGAATTCTAAAACCGAAGCAGTGCTATTTTGTCGGTAGAATTAAAAAAAAATCGGGGCACGCTGCAAAAAAAATAACAACAAGCAAAGCTGGATGGTGCCAGTTGATCTCGAGTCACAGGATTCTCACTTGTGGATGCATTCGCGATTTAAATTAAAATGTTCCTTTAAAATAGGTCAAGCGTTACAAAAAAAAACGAGAGTAGGGGGTGGAGGAAAGTTGATTTGCTCCAGACACACACAGCCACCCGAGGATGCCGATCGATCGCTTGCGTGCTGCCGTCTCCGGCATCACGGGTTGCGCTTAAAAGATCACGCGTCGTGCAGGCAGGCGATACCACCTCGGGCAAAATAAGCGTGCCGTAGGCAAACAAAAAAACTCCACATTCACATCCCGGTCAAAAACAAACGTTAAAGACACGTCCTGCTCAAATTGGTTGGCATCTCCGATTAGCACGGTTGGCTACGTACGGTCATAAAGAGGTTCAGAATACATCCATCACAGACAAATGAGCATAAAAGAGGTATTATTTGGTGCTCATCTGCACAGCCGTGCAGATTCAGTGGTGACAATTTCCACGTTTGCACGGGGTGGAGGGGGGGGAGTGAATCTATCCATAAGAACCCACAAAGTGCAACTCATTTGATCGAACCCGGGGACGGATGGTGGGGATAAGTCAATCCGCCCCCCCCCCCCCACCCCCCCCCCCACCAGGATTTAAACTCGGATCCTTCTGCTTGTGAGCCGATCGCTCTCCCGCTTGAGCGACATCTTCTTGCTTGCGAGTCAACGTTCATATTTTTTTGGTCCTGCGCTCTCCCAGGAACGAGGGGACTACGCGGCGACTCCTCTCACGGCCAAGGGGCTGCCGCTGCTGCTCTCCACCCCCCCCCCCTCTCTCTCTCCATGCCTTGAAAATGAACGGCAGCAACGCCGCCGCAGAAACGAGTGGACGACAGAAATCGTGTTCCCGACGCTCGCGAGCTTCCGCATTCGCCGCCGTCGCCGGACAAAATAAACGCGGGGTCAAAATAGTCGCTGCGCTACAAGCACCACCCCGGTTCACTCCTCTAAACGCGACGCAGGGACAGACAAGCGGGTGACGAAACGAGCACATTTCAATCTCGCCGATGGGGTTATACATCCATCCTATCCATCCTATCCATCCTATCCATCCTATCCTTCCCCCCCCCCCCGCCACCTCGCTGCAACCACTCAACAGCCATGCATTATGTATGCGCCCACATCCATCGATAGTGCCTGCTGCGGAATAATGAATTGGAGCTTCACATTAAATCCTGTAATTCACGATAATTTAATTATTTGGCGATACTTTTACCGTAATTACTTTCGCCGTGGCACTCGTGCGCTTCATTAGGGTTAAGAGCCCGCAGGAATCGATTGATCTTATTAAAGGGAAGAGGCAATGGCTGGGCAACAAAGCTCACTTTCTCCGTGGTATTTCTGAAACTGCAATGTGCATTTTTTTTGTTTACAAATGGTATTACCCACCCAGCTCCTTTTAAAACAAAACAACCCCCCCACCCCGACAGCTATTATTATTATTATTGATGGAATTCAACAACAAGACAGAAGCCAGCGGAGCCGCAGTGCACACACCAAGTGCACGGTCGACACGCACACAGACACAGACGTGGGTGGCTGCGGGTGCTGCTCGGCAGTGAGAGCTGGGAAACCGAGAAAGGGGCGAGAGAGGGCGTGAGACGGAGCGAAGTCAAAGGGTAGGTGTTGGGGGTCGCGGGGGGGAGGGTAGCGAAGATGTAAAGGAAAGTATCAAGGAACACGCGGTGTCGGGGTGACATCAAAATATGGGGAGCGTAATGAATCAAAGGCAGGGTGCAAATCAACAAAAGGGGTGGCACATCTTCCCGTACACCGCCGCTGGCCTCTGTGACAGAGCCCCCACCACCCCTCCTCCTCAATGTTCCAGAGTGGAGATATTTCAAGCGTCAAATTCAGCGAGCGCTCGAAGTGCGGGCAAGACCAGCCGTCGTAGCTTGCGTTCAAAAAACAGACTTCCGCTTGACACGCACGATCCTTCCTCGCGTACGCACAGCGGTGGACTTGAAAACGTGCGTTCGTGTTAAGCCGTGTTCAGTTTCAAACATTTTTTTCAACAAATTAAAAGGAATTTTTGAAACTCAATATTTGTTGTTATTATAATTATTATTACTACTAGTACTGCAAAAAAGTGCAGAAATACCGAGCTATAAGCGATTGCTAATTTCAACCTGCAACCATCGTCTGCGCGATTGAGCGGCCTTCATTTTTCGTCACCACGCCACCGGCAAAGTAAAAAAAGAGAAAAAGAAATTGCTCCTGCGAATCAAATTACAAAGACACTCAACCCCGTGGGCATGGATCACGCTGCTGTGCTGCAGCTGCAGAATACTCCGCTGCTGCTTCTGCTGGAGCTGCTGCTGCTGCAGCTACTAGAGCTCCTGCTGCTTCTGCTGGAGCTGCTGCTGCAGCTACAGCTACTAGAGCTCCTGCTGCTTCTGCTGGAGCTGCTGCTGCAGCTACAGCTACTAGAGCTCCTGCTGCTTCTGCTGGAGCTGCTGCTGCAGCTACTAGAGCTCCTGCTGCTTCTGCTGGAGCTGCTGCTGCAGCTACAGCTACTAGAGCTCCTGCTGCTTCTACTGGAGCTGCTGCTGCAGCTACAGCTACTAGAGCTTCTGCTGCTTCTGCTGGAGCTGCTGCTGCTGCAGCTACTAGAGCTTCTGCTGCTTCTGCTGGAGCTGCTGCTGCAGCTACAGCTACTAGAGCTCTTGCTGCTTCTGCTGGAGCTGCTGCTGCAGCTACTAGAGCTCCTGCTGCTTCTGCTGGAGCTGCTGCTGCAGCTGCAGCTACTAGAGCTGCTTCTGCTGGAGTTGCTGCTGCTGCAGCTACTAGAGCTGCTTCTGCTGGAGCTGCTGCTGCTGCAGCTACTAGAGCTGCTTCTGCTGGAGCTGCTGCTGCAGCTACTAGAGCTTCTGCTGCTTCTGCTGGAGCTGCTGCTGCTGCAGCTACTAGAGCATCTGCTGCTTCTGCTGGAGGTGCTGCTGCAGCTGCAGCTACTAGAGCTGCTTCTGCTGGAGCTGCTGCTGCTGCTGCAGCTACTAGAGCTTCTGCTGCTTCTGCTGGAGGTGCTGCGGCAAATTGTGTCTCTACTAAATTGTCTCCCCCATTGATCTCTTCTTCGAGGGCCGATGCGATGGTATTCGTTGTGCGATGAGACGCCTCACACAGGTTGGCCACGTGAGAGCAATCATCTGCCTCCCACCCTCCCACTGCGGATAAATCGGGCGGATACGGGAAAAACTCTTTTAAACAAGACACGTCGTAATTTCACGCACGGACGTAGCGAGTTCTCAGTGATGACATCACATTTACCCCCTCTATTAAGGACCGAAACGGGAAGATTTCTCCAGAAATCTGGCTGTCGCCTGATGAAGCTGGTTGTAATTACCGGCGAAACGTCGTACTCGAATTGTAAATGTCGTGGGCTCACTCTCCAACACACCGGTGTGCTGAACTAGTAACGAATTGGCACGTTTTGTTTACGTGACAAACCTTACTAAATTGGCTTTGTCGGGTGGTGGCGGGTTTAATTACACATTTATATTTACGCGATCTAACCCAACCCCCCCCCTCTATTCTGGAGTGCTAAGCGTTTACGAATCATGACACGTGGTCCCCCACAATGTGCTGAAACAGTTGTTTCCCTTCTTGCAAAATCACCAAACCAACAAACAAAACAAATCTTCCAGCACCGGATGGCCACAGAGTGAGAATTACGGAGCGCTCACAGATCCCAGCGCTCTGCTGAGACGCAATTGAGAAATGGAGAGTTCTGCACGTTCCGTGTGGTCAATATAACGCATTCGTGCATTCGCGTTGATTGAACGGACATTGAGCATCAACCTGGGCTGTCCAAGTATCAGCCAGCGCGAGTACATTTGCCTAAGCTCATAAAAAAACGAATTCTCGATGTTTTTTTAATAAATAATATTTTTAGTGAGCAAGGCCGGCATAAATTGCGAAAAAAACCTATTTCTACGTACAAGAGAGTGAAAGAGAGCGAATTTTACTCAACGCCGCGTGAAACTTCCACCTACGAGCGATTGTTGATTCTTCGCAGGCAGCAACGGAAGAAACGGAAGAGACGAGCACCTCAGATAAAATCTGTGCATGGCGAGAAAAATCCAAATCGCAAGAGGAGATTAAAACAACAACAACAACGGCAGCGGCGGGACTGCTTTCGCAAACCAACACGAAAACCGGCATCTCCTTCAAGGAGTGCAGCATTTTGTGGTGTGCTCTTAAAAACATCGCCAGAATATGTAAGTATGTATGGTGGAGGAATCCGAGGAGCGATGAAAGCTCTTTCCTCAATGGGTTTGCAGCTTGCCTTTACGATGGTGGGGGGGGGGGGGGGGGGGGGGGGGGCTTTCACATCGTTTGCATGGTGCGATTATTGTTAAGGGCATGAGCCGAGCTCATGAGGATGGGGGGGTGGGGGCATAGAGAGTGAAAGTGAAGGACTCCACATCGTGCGGTCCCCAGGGGAGGCAGACTTAGCAGTGGTAGGGGATTGGGGGCTATACGGTACCGGTCACATTAGTCCCATCTCTTTACCACTGCCGCCAGTCAGTCGGTGATCACGTGTGCGTAAATTCATTTTGATGGTGACCTAAGGCAAGGCCAACTACGAAGGACATTTTTCAGGAACTGCCGATGGTTTTTGCCTAAATGGACCAAGGGCCGAGTAATTTTGAAACGGCACCTTGACAAGATATTTTCCGGGCATCAGGAGCTGCGCTTGCTCACCATTAGGGGATGGAGGAATTCGATTGGGTTGGGGGTCACGGTTCAATTCAAGTATTGATTTT